ATCCGCAGTTAACAACAGTCTGCTGGATTGCGAGATACTCAATTTGTTTTCATTATGCTAATTTTCAGGTTTATTTTAATCTGCAAAAATATTATGATTTTAATAAACCACAAAATAATAGTAACTAAATATTGAAGAAAAATAAGGTCATATAAATAAATGGTAATTACAACTTAGAAATCTGATTTGAAACAGGAAGCACTACAAAATACTGATGTCTTGTTTATTTTAATAAGCAATCACTTAATACGCAAGCCAGTCAAATAGTAAAAGAACTGTAATATGAAGGATGTTGACCTAGTAGGTGCATGACGTCAATGCTGGCATCATAACGTCAATATATTTACAGAAAGGTTATGCAACTGTCTGTATTGTAGCTCACAATAGACTATATACTATCTCATCTGTTTTAAATTCAATTCTCTCACAGTCTGGATAATTATTCATCTTCAGCATGCCCAAAAACATATTGTTTTTCCAAGAATATTCATCTAAACCATCCAGCTAAACAATTGTATTTTTAGTTAAATTATTTTTACTTTTGAATATTGAAATGCAGCTTTAGTAGAATTATAATATATAGTAGAACACTGAATACATGTATAATACTTGGATTGGGTTTTCAAAACAATACCTTTATCACACCACAGTACCTCTATCATAGAGGGACTGTGGTCACATGTATTACCGGTAAATACACCTGTGAGGCAGTCATTTATAAAAATCTGTCATCTATTGTACAATTATCTATTATATTAATCTTTTTTTAATACCGGTACTGTATATTTTTTGTTCTATACTATAATATCACAATTAGCTTACATTATTTGCAAAAAACATGGGAAATATTCATGAGTTATGTGACAATACCTTAAGTAGATACATTTTTGTATGATGGAGTATATTAATGTCAAATTATTTTATTCTGGGGGAGACCTGCTATGAGTGAGCCATCAATAATAAAGATGGCATCAAACTTTTTTGAATGGACACTTCTATTTATCTATTAACCAATTGTGCTTTGAATAATGACCCTGACATTTTAAAATGGCCTGTATTGTACACTTACTTTTCAAAACTCTAAATGAAATTTTGTATTTCCTGTACTTGGTGTGCTGATTTATGAATGATCTCTTCAGACATGACTTTCTTCTCTTATTGTGTATGTGTAATTACAATAGTGATGTAGAAATCTGTGAACATATGTGATCACAGCAACCCATGGTTTCTTATTCTCATTATTTCATCTCATTATGGTATTTTGTCGGAGTTACAAATCTGGTTGTCAAGCTTGTGTAGTCGCACAAACGCTTTTGTAAATTACAAACATGTTTCTATGTTGAAAAGAAATCATATTTTAATGAGTATGCAAATATGATTTTCAGTTTTTGTGCTTCTAATCCTTGAGGCGGAGCTACGTCACAAGACATTCCACATTGCTAAGACGTGCACCACTGAACCATGCATTTCTATGGGCCGGTGAAAATAGCTAAATTTGAGAAAACAACACAAACTCAACTTTCAAGTAATCCTAAACAGTCCAATTTATATATGTTACAAGAGTCAGAGGAGTCTCAACAACCATCCTAAAGTACCATTATCTGCCATTTTTGGGCCTTTGTTTTCATCGTGATGGTTGCTAAGATGTGAAAATGCCCGGATGTCCGCCCCGAGAATAGAGCAAAATATGTTACAATTTATGTTTCACTTTTTTTTTTTTTTAAATATTTTTTGTGCCAGGCGACAGTTCCGGACATTGAGTGTCACTGTTGTCTCTCCTGACTTTTTTTTCTGTATGTGCAAATTGCATGTGCTAGTGCATTTTGCCACAGAAGTCATATTCATGTTTGGGACTACCGTACATGACAGGGCTGTGTGGCCATCTTTCTGTCAAATGGCAATTTGTAATGCGCTATCCTGGCGTCAACCAGGCCCGGCCGAACACAAGTACCTGTGAACCTTAACCAAGGTTCCCCCAAAGTCGCATTCGTTAGTGAATTAATCTCGGCCAGTGGAATTGGCCTTCCTATTGAGTCTGTGGCACACTCACCCAGGGTAGGGGTCGACCCTTTGATGTTCAGCCTAGGATGGAATTTGAACTTGGGTCTATCGATCATGAGTCTGATGCGACAACCACTATGCTACCAGTGACTGGTATTTATGTTTCAGTATGTACATTGACTAGCTCAATTCATTATTACCATCACTACATTGTGTTTGTCATTTGAATCTCAAGATAAATTCATTAAGTTGAACAATAAATTTTATAATATAGCAACTCAGAACACTGGGATACACACCTAATGAACATATGTTTATATAATTGTTTACACTTTGAAATAAATGTCAGTGATATTTTTGTAATCTACATTTAATACCTGGCCTGCTGAAAGCCTACAGAGATAAATGCCAGAATCAATACAGGGCCAAGAGATTGTACACTGCACCATCCTACACAAGGAAACATTTATACTGGGGTGTGTTCTTATCAAACACACTACTGTAAAATACATTATTTTAGAATTGTTTGTATGGAACTTATTTTCACTTATATACGCTTGATTTTTATTTTCACATTTTCACTGAATCATACCTA